TGGGGGACCTGGGCTGGGCACTGGGGTCCACTGTAGTGGCCGGCAGGTGGGCCTGGAGAGGGAAGCAGAGGCGGCCGGCACTCAAGGGGACTGGGTGCCCACTCAGGAGTCCTGGGTTCACCCTGGAATCAACACACAGGGGCTTTCCAGAGTTGACCCCACCCCTGGCGACTGCTGGGCTGTAAACTGCACTGGCGCAGAAGGTGGAATTAGGCGCCGCTGGCCCCTTGGCCAGGAAACGTTTGGACTTTGCGCTTCCCCTTTGCCTGGACACAGCTTCAACCTGAGCCCCTCCCATCCGCAGACCCTACACCCTGGAGGGAGCTCACAGCACGGGGGACAGTGCGGACTGGCCAGCGGCCCCTTGCCCTTCCCCCGGGACAGCAAGTCCTTTCCAGATAAGCAGAGACCAGCGCCGACACCCAGCCTCATTCTTGCACCCTGGGGGCTGGGAGAAGTGTGGACACAAACCCTCTGATGCCGGCGTGTCCTTGGTCGGGGGCGGAGGGGGGACAGGCAGGCGGGGGCCAGGCCTGCGCCCCCGACTCAGCACCTGTTAGCTCTGTGCCTTGTGGCTCCATCAGCAGCAGCGAGAACCTCCCAGGTCGGTGACCTTCCCCGGGACCCCAAAAGCTGAAGCTGCCGTGCTCGGTGCAGGGCGTCGGGGGGTAGTAGGAACCCCGACAGCGTCAGAGATTTCACCTCAGAGGGTCGCTCCCTGTGCGCCTCTCACCAGGCTCAGGTGTGCAAGTGGCCAGGCCTGAGGGTCCCGCCCCTCCTGCATTTGCCCCCTCTTTCGATTAGAAACACCAACAGGCGGTGAAGCTCCTGAAAGGCCCAGCTGATGCTGCAGAGTCTGCGGTGACGTTTCCAGGACATCGGCAGCTCCTCCTTTGTTAAAAAAACAACGCGCTGCCCTAGAAAGCCCCCGGGCTTTGCTGAGGTCACAGGAAAGACACAGTCACTCTTCCTGGAAAAACCCACGCACCAAAGTCCCTGTTCTCATGGAGCCTCGCCAAGCTGCCAGTCCAGCGGCGGCCCCGGGTCATTTCTCTCCCTGCCCACCGGCGTTACCTCTGCGGAGCCTGAACCCAGGGTGAGTGAGGCTGGGCTGCCGGAGGACCTCGAATCAAGGCCCAGGGGTCCCTGCACTGAGTGGCTTGACTCAGGCACCGTCCCCATCGTCCCAGTCCCCAGGTCACCTCATCCAGCCACCCCCCAACCCGTGTCCGAGAAACCTCCCACCCACGGCAGCCCCTCCCCACTCCAGCACCAAAACCCTCACGGGCATCTCCTGAGGGCCACCAGCAGGGCTGCCAGATCCAGTCCAGAAGCCCAGCTGACTGTGCACTTCCAGCCCCCTGCACTGCCAGACAGCGTGGGTGTCTTGCGCCGTCCCCGAAGGGTGTGGGGTTAGAGAGCTGCCCCCATGTGAGAATGCGGGCACACCAAAGGTGAAGGATGGTCCCCACTGACCAGGGGATCAGCTCCAGGGCGGACCTGCCTCTCCCATGATGGTGACGGTGGCATCCACACACCGCCTGTTGAGGCACCAGCCTGCGGGGGACGACGAGGCAGGCTGGCCATGCCGGCAGACAGGTCCGAGGTGTGGACCCAGGGGGTGCGAGGAGGCTGCTGAGCCTTGGAGCCAGTGTTCCAGGAGAAGCTGTGCTGAGAGACGTTCTCCAAGGGGACCCCGGAAAACACTCCTGCTGCTGACACCTGCCCGGGCCACCCCCAGCCTCACACGGGCCCAGAATAGAAGGGAGGTTGGAGCCCGGATCTCAAAGCCTCATTATTTTATTTCCAATCAATCATGGACCAATGTTTTTGTCAAATGCAATCAAAGGCAGTCAGTTTTAAATGAACACAGACTTGGAGGTTACAGCTGTGCCAAACCTACCCCAGTTTCTGTCCTGTCCCCCAGAGAAGCGGCCACATGTGGTCACCTCCCATGCAAGGAGCAGCCGTGGGCGGCCCCAGGTGGCTTATTCAAGCATCTTACCCCTCTGGTTTCAGTAACACAGTCTGTGGACATGAGGTTTACATACCTCATTAGGGCTCCAAATTTGAGTATTATCTGAGTCTTTTAAATTTTTGCAAAGCTAGTGATTTTTCCAATCTTTGGCAAGACCGTGTTACATTGGCTTGAATGAAAACTTGCCTTGACTCAGGGAGAGAAGTCACAAGTTCGGTTAGTGTGGGCCTGAGTAACCCGCTTGCTCCCGTGCCCCCAGCCTTGGAGGTGCGGGCCCCATTCCTCACGTTGACCAGCTCTGCGGTCTCTGTCAGTCCACAGCATCATGGACGTGTTTGTTACTGGGCTGGGAGTCAAAGCTGCCACACGGCGGCAAGTCGAGGCGCCCTGGGAGGAAGATTCTGCAAAGTACCCAAGTCAAGGTGCTTCCTGGCGTGGTCACCCATCGCCCAGCTCCCAGGAGCCCCTGGAACAAAATCAACTTTCTCGCGCCCTCAGGGCTGCCTGCATTGAGGCCTCGCATGATTCTGCTTTGGTTTGGGTTAAGTGGAAAATGGGGGTCCCATTATGCAAAAAACAAAGCCTCCAACTACTCTGGCCTCACCCAAACACCACCCCGCCTCAGCAGATACCAGAGGTCGCTCACGACACCCACTTTTCAGACAGATAACATGAGGTGGGAGAAGGGAGAGGCAATGGTGGTAAACACGTGCATGGCACTGGGTATGGCTAGGCCCTATTACAAAGGCTTTGCACAGAACACGACTTTCAACCCGCCAGCCACCCTGTGGGTGGGGCACTGTTTCAGTCACGCTGTATCCTTGCCTTGGAAACAGTGTTGTCTTTGAGGACAGCACGGTCTCCTCCAGCAGGTCCCATTTCCTGTGTTAAAGCAACTGGAATCCACGGGCAGTGAGAAACAAGGAGTTCAGGCAAATTGGACCAAGTCAATAGTCCTGTCTCCTCCTTAAAGCAGGCAGAGCAGCTCGTGCCGCTGGGCGGCAGGACCTCCAGCGCCTGCAGCCGGGGGCCTCACAAACCGCCCCTTCTCACAAGTCCCGTTTGTTTCCTTGACACGGAAGCAATCCACTCAGCTCTGCAGGTACCTCCAGGTTCCCAGGGCTCAAAAGATCCCGGGAAGAGCCTCTGGTCATTGACAAGCCATTCCAGCCTTTATGTGGATGTTTGCTTTCATACATTTAACCAAAAATGGCCCAAAATGCAGGTTACCCTGCAGCCAGCCGGCTGAAGTATCAGTATGAAACCTTCCTCTTCCAATCTCTGTCTCATCAACTTGGCCAAAAATACCCCTGGCCATTTCGGCCACATACAGAAACAGACACTGCCTTACACAGCTGCCTCCATTGCTCCACGTGGCTTCCCTCCGCTTCTCTCCACCTAGACCGAGCGAGCAGCGTGATGCACGTTCTGACTCCCCTCCCTCAGCAATTACTCCCCCGGTTAATGGATCTGACAAGCTTATATAGAATTAATAATGCATTAATAACTGCTACGATCTGGCAAACCAAACAGGCTGTTTTAATAACAGAATCAATAGTTCCTCTAAGTGACGCTTGTTTATTTTACACATATAGAAACAGAGGCACGCGTGGCTTTATTTTTATCTTAGCTGGAGGTGAGATCCTTCCCCTCACAGATGCGCCGATTCCGTATCCCGGTTGCATTTTCCTTGGCTTTTCTTGTTTGTTTGTCCATTTGTTTTCAGTAAAAGAAATGATATGGCATGAAACATATTTCTTAAAACATCATTTTCTTACACGCCTCGTCTCTATTTGATGTTCCAAAATAGAACACTTTCACGTTAATCTAACACTTCACATTGTCAGCCCGGCGTGCAATCATTCCGAGAGCGGCAGAATTCCCTGGTGAGCTCTGCGGCTGTGGCTTTTCCATTTTACAGTGGGGGAGGCCAAGGCTGTGTCGACACACACAGCAGAGAGAAAGAAACTGGCTAAATAACTCCAGAAAGGGAAAGTCAGCCCGTAGCGCCCGGCCTCAATTACCGGGGATTCTGCCTGCTTCGTCCAATTAATTGTCTCTGTCTTTGTCTCACTCTCTACAGGTAGACGCTGGCGGGAAAGCCGCTCCTCCAGGACGTTCCTTCTCTGTTTTGCTATCTGCTAAATTCAAAGACAAGTGCTATTTCCAATGACTGTTGTCTGTACACGACCTTGAATAGAAGCGGTGACCCATGGCTCTTCATTAAAATGGTCCCGAGACTAAAAACAAAACGCCCAAGGCATTCCCTCAATAAAAAGAAAGAAAGCGAGAATGAAACTTTAGACAGATGCACAGTGTCCTGGAAGGAGTTTTAGTGGAGGATTCCACTCATCCATCGCTTCGTGTCCTGCGTCTCTTTTGAAATTCCTTGTGCTGACCCAGCTGCCGTTCAATAAACACTCCAGTGTGGGGGTGACAAAAGTAATTTTCACCTAAACTGTGTTTCCGTCATTCTGGTAGAAAGGCTTGCCTCTTTCAAATACAGTTCTTTTCTATCCCTTTCTTTCTGTCTTTGACTTGCGTGGTTCCCTCTGTGGTGGTGGGAGGCAGCCCATGACCAGGCAGAGGCAACAGCAGGTATTTTTCAGCCCCGCCCAGGCCGAGCTGGCATCTTTCCAGAACCCCAGCTCACTGTTTTCGTGCCCTCTGAGTCTCAAAGCCAGCATATTTTGCTTCTTTGCTTTGTAAAGTTAAAGCCACTTGTGTCTGCATCTCACGGGGGTCCTGAGTGGCGTCTCTGTGTTCCCACCAGCACTGTCAACGTTTCTCCCGTGAGAGGGAGAGCCATGGGGCAATGGGGACGCTGGGTGACAGGCACGAAGCTGGGAGCCTAAGGGGACAGTCGCTTAGGTAAGACCACCAGGAAGGGGCCGCCTTCAGGCCCACACACGCGTGCCTGTGTCTCCTCTGTGCTGGCCCGTGGGAACGACTGGATGCCTTCCTACCTTACAGTCCAACCAGGCTCTGAGCGTGCCCACATGGGTGCACCTTGCACAGTTCCCAGACACCCCCACTCACACAGGAAGCACCTGCTCAGGTCATTCCCTGCCAAGGGTGGCCCAGTAAAGACCCCCTTCTGATTCCTACTGTCCGAGGACCTCTGCCACTAGGGGGCTGGACAGGGAGCCCAGTCCTCTGACGCCTGTCACCTCTGTCCCTTCCATCTGGCGATGGGGTAGCCCCAAGGCCACATGGGCACTTAGTAAACATGAGGGCCCTCTCTGCTCGAAGCCCACGAGGGCAGACGATGGAAGAGGCCCTCCCTGTGCCCTCTCTCAGAATGAAGGTATAAGTCACATTTAGGCAAATGTTTCTCTGCTCTGGGGTGGAGGCTGGAGTGGGAGGGAGATGGCGGAGGGAGAGCACTCACAGCTTTGCCAGCAGAGATCTGAGCCCTCCACACTCCTGGCACTGCCAGCCCAGAGAGGTGCCTCACGTTTAGAAAATGTCACTTCTAGTGTTTATATCCCATTTTGTCTCTGATAA